CCTCTCTTCAAGGACCCAGGAACAGAAAGAAACCCAGTCCTGGTGCTGTGTGAAAACCGCAGTCCAGTCCGTGTGCGCGCGGGGACGTGACTTTCTGCATTCGTCAAAGCGCGCGCTCCTGTTTTCGGCTGCGCGCGCGCGGAGATGCAATTAGAAAGTGATCAAGTGAAGAAAATGTTGAGAAAGCAGCTGTCAGATCCAGCGGGGGAGGAGTGGGGGGAGGCGGTGCCCTCGGTTATGTAAGGGGGGGACCCGCGGGAGACCAGAACCCGGTCTTGGATCCGGTTCTGTCGAGGCTTCAGGTGGAGAAAGTTCGCTTTGTTCACCTGTTGTTGAAACGGATCAGAGAACAGAAGAACCCGGAGCTGTTCTGGATCACAGTGAGCCCTGAGCTCCTCCAGAAATAATGTCTAATCTGTTAAAGAGATGTTTGTTTTATATTCTGACCTCAGCAGAACTCAACAACCATCGGTTCCTTCTTTATAAAACATTTTATTTTAGTTATTTTTTTATTCCTAATAAATAACCTCACTGCTTTTTTTCATATTTTCTAAAACCCAAATCAACAGAAAACATCTGAGGAGTAAAACACGTGTTTTCATTTCTTTTTCTGCCTCAAACTTCACAACTTTGTGCAAAATTCAGAAAGCATCTCTCTTTTAATCATCTCTGTGCAAAAAACAAAAAAATAACAAAAGATTTATTAAAAAACACACAAAACAAGCACTAAGAGATATTTAGGAAAAATCACCACAATGTCAGAACCAAAGAGACAGAAGCAGAAAAAAGAGGATATTCAATCAGCATAATCAAATAAATCACATTAATAAATAAACAAATAATAAACCATTATTTGATTTTACAGTTTTTTTGTCTTTGTCTTCACGTTTTATCTGTTTAATTTTTCTTAGCTGCCTCTTTTTGTGACATTTGATCCGTCCTGCAAACAAGCAAACAGCAAAACTGTTTAAAAAAGACTGAATTGATCAAATAAATCTGATATTTTTAGGCTGTTTTGTGTGTAAAATGTAAAAATCCATGAAGTCCTTGCAAACGAGTAAAAACCTGCCTCTTTTAGACTTCTTCATTTAAGCAGAACTCTCCTCAGATCACAGCAGGATCAGAAAATAAATCTCATCCAATAATTTTATTTTTTTTTTAAAAAGGAAAGAAGCTGGACACAAAGAGCGTTTAGTCAGAAAATGAGCTCAAAACTTGGAATAATTTGTGAAACTAAAGCTCAGGAAGCAGCTCGCGCAAAAACCGAACACTTCAACATGAAACGTTTTATGAAATCTTTGAAAAATCTAAAATAAAAACGTCTCTTTTTATCCGATTAAATTCAGTTTATTGTCCTAAAAGCAGGAAGCAGTTTTTACTTGAAGAGCCTCAGTTTTCGGCAGAAAAACAAAAAAGGTTTCCGACTGAAACAAGTCGAATCCACACAAACCAGAATAAGTTTATTTATAAAAAGTGTCCGGTGTTTCCCTGTCCCCTTTTGGCTGAGCTGAGCTGCTCTGAGGACCAGAGGTCAAAGGTCACGGCTGCTTGTGGCCACATTCAGACCCCTCTGAGTGGGATTCTCTTTAGGGAAGCATCAGAAACATCTTCAAGCACAATAAACAGAAACTACGTCTTAAAAAATCATTTAGAGGGAAAATAGTTGGTCGCAACAATAACACCAAACTTTGACAAACCCTTGATAAGTTATTACGTTTAATATTTAGACTTTTGTTATGTTTATAC